ATATATATATAAAACTTTATTATATTATATATAACCCCAACGTTGTACATGAATTATGTAGGGGGGGGGAATAAATTCGGAGATGGTTGTTGGTGACAGAGAGTTTCTTTGCAGTCCTCATGTACCTTCCCAGCCGAAAGTCTGAAATAAAAAACATGAAGTTCAAATATTTCCCACAGTGTGAGCCGATTTCCTCAGGAGGTTGTGGAGCTAGAATAATATTTGAAGCCGTATTTTGCAAATGTACGAGTTTGTCTTTTGTGAATTAATACAGAGCATGTTCATTTGCTGTAATAAATGTGTTTTTCTGACATACATTTCAAAATTAAAAGCACAATTTTTAACTGTCCAGTTCTTCAAACGTTAGTGAAGCTGGGCTAAAGTCTTTCACCGTCACCTGTCCTCCTTCAGGCGGGGGATTGTGGGAAGAAAACCGACGTCTACTGAGCTTGGAAAGAAAAGAGTCTGGACTTCTTTAAGTTGCTTGAAGACGTTTCACCTCTCATCCGAGAAGCTTCTTCAGTTCTAGGGTCAGATGGTGAAGAGTCCAGAAGAAAACCGACATAAACCTGAAAATCTCACAAATATTCTACGCCGGTTCGTAACCTGGCCCAACTAGTTTAGTGCAGGCTGTCACGAGTCATCTTGGTGACGTTGTTAATGCTTTGATCAGAAGTAACTGATAATTTTAATGAGATTGGTGATGCGGCTGATTTCCTCCTCTTGCAATCACACTCCTCAGCTTCGCGTCCACACAGCGACGCCTTGAGGCAGCCACTGGAACTACGGCTGGTGTTTTAAGAGATAAGAGATAACGCTTTGTTGTCGTTGTACAGTCATACCTAGTGCAATAGTACAACGAAATGGCAAAACTGTCCCACGTTGGCAGTACGCACAACACAAACAAGAGAACACAACACAGTAACTTCATAAATAAAAAGTATGAGTGTATATTTTTATTGCACATTATTAGTATTTTTTTTATTGTCCATAAAGGCAGCCAATCCGGTCAGCTGTTAGCATTGATTAGGGCTATTGCGCTGTTGTACAAGCTGTCCTGGAGTCTGTTTGTCCGCGACCTCCGCAGCCTGAAGGAGCTGATCAGTGTTTTTGCCCACAATAAGCTGAGATTCTGAAATATACTATGTGCAGAATTTACCACCAAGTGGTAATGAGTAATGTTTGTTATTATGGATCACATTAAGAACACTATTACTTTTGTTCTGCTGCCTTCAGCCGTCCAATCAGCAGCGTGTGAGTACAACTGATCTGTGTATATTACCCACAATGCCTCCGTGTGT